CAGTCAAACAACCAAACATGACATGTCTCCTGTGTGCTACTGCAGTCGCCTCTTTATAGATTGAGGGACAGTTCAAATTTGCATAGGTTAAAAGTGATTCTCGTGAAAGTCTGACTTTTTTTCTTTTTTTTTTTTTTAAATATGTAACTTGTAAAGCTGCCGTTTTATTTTTGGTGGCATTTTATTTGCCAGACATGTTGAAATCAATTTTTAAACCAGAGGTAAGTCATCTTCTCTAGTATTACAAAGAGTGAGTGCAGGACACTGAGGAGAACCATGTCTGCTCATGAAGGAAGGGAGAGAGAGAGAGAGAGAGAGAGAGATGAAGGTACAAGTATCTCAGAAATATCATGAAGGAGTAAGTATTATTGAGAGAAACAAGGAAGCTGCAAAGAAACATGACTGCCCATCTCCTGAGAGAGAAAGTTATGAGATATCGTAAAGTCTGGGCAAATGGATATGGAACAAATATCACAAAGGTAATGAGCAGTCGTAAAGGAGCAAGTAATACTGAGAGAAACAAAAGACAAGACCCTGTAAGGGACAAAAAAAGATTTTTATATATATATATATTAGTACTTGAGCATATGGTTGAAGTTCTCCGATAACACTAAGCTTTGGCTAATTGACAAAGAAAGACCATTATATCAATCTCAAATGGAAAAAGTCTTATCAGTGTTCAAACACTTTGAGTTGATAAATACTGAACAACTCTCTCAGCCATGGAGATATGCTCAGGTAATGTATTGTAATTTAAATATTTGGATAAGTGTTCTTATCTATGCAGGATACTACAGCCTTCCTCAAGTTTGTTTGCACACAGGTATAATCAAGACTTTTGGTGACCCGTAGGCTAATGAAATTATTGGGGGTGAGGCAGTCAGATTGTGCCATCTTTCCAGCACCTATCTTAAATTTTTTTTTTGTTCTTTTTTAAATTGGGTCATATACTTCTTGCAAATTCTTTAAATAAACCAGAAAAACTATCTTTTGTTTGTCAATAAAATATTCTTTAAGAAATACCGCTATATTACTATGTTGTAGTTGAATGTCCCACTCTTCCTATCATCTATTGTGGACTGACTCCATATATATATATATATATATATATATATATATATACACATACATTGTGCTCAGGATATACATGGCAATTTACTTCGGGAATTACTAGCCTGCTAACTGATACCCTGTCTTTCAGTAGTGTATTCTCCTTACAATAAACCTCTCTTCCTTTCATCTATGCCTGTGTTGCCATTTCTTTCATTCAAGTACCACCTTTGTCTGTTTGTAACCTTCTTTAAGGATACAACATACTATTTATTTCAAACCAAGTCAGCACATATTTTAACAGAACTGTTTAAAAAGAAAAATTGAAGACATTTTTATAACCAGAATTATAACAATAAAGCAATTAAAATAAATATGAGTTTGTTGTATTGATATCATTTAAGTTTATGAAACTATTTAGAAGTTATAACATCTAGAAAATTAAAATCACTGCTTCCTAAGAAATTTACAAGATTTAAAACATTCTGAACTAAAAATCAAATATGTTATCTACTTGAGACACAATGACACAAACTAAAACATTCTTTTCCTTGATTTACTTCATGCAAAGTCAAATAAATACAAGTTTGCCATATTGATAACATTTCAGTTTATGAAATTATTTAGAAGTTATAACATCTAGAAAATTAAAAACATTGCTTTGGAAAAGCTTGTGGGATTCCTAGGCTGCAACCTACATTAGCATAAAGGAAAATCTGGCCTTTGGCCCCAGGCTGCAGCCTATACTAGCCTAAAGGATAATACAGCCCTGCTTGTATCTTAGTGGCATTGTTACCTTGCTTGGGGTGAAAGGATTTATAAAAAAAAAAAAAAAAAACCAGGACTAATGAAATTATGCCTGCCTCTGGAGCCACCCTCTAACTCATTTGTACCAGTCTTGAATATTTTTTTTTTTTTTTCAGTATATATTACTAAATATGTCTTCCATAATTGGTAATTACTACAAAAGCAAAAAACCACTAGCTTTCCCAAGAACAGCTATGGCAATGAATAGTTTAAAGAAAAGGATATTATAAAGAACCATTATAGCCAGGGCAGGATTTTGACCTGTTGGAGCCCCAAGACTAATGAAATTATGCCTGGCTCCTGGAGGGAGCCACCCACTTGTACCAGTCTTGAATATTTTTTTTTTTTTATTCAGGATATATTTTAGTGACATTTACATTGCTTGAAGTAAAGTTATTGTAAATTCTTTCAATAATCTAGAATGGCTATCTTTTGTTTGTCAATGAAAACATTCTTCAAGAAATACCATTATTTTACTATTTATTGTAAACCAAATTCACAATACAACCATTAGTTAAAAAGAAAAAAAAAATGTTTTTTTTTTTTTTTTTTATAACCAGCATTATAACAAAATCAAAATAAATATGAATTTATTATACTGATATCATTTCAGATTATAAAACTACTTAGAAAATTAAAATCACTGCTTTATTAAAAATTAAGATTTAAACATTCCAAACTAAAAATCAAACATGTCATCTACTTGAAACACAATGACACAAACTAAAACATTCTTTTCCTTCCTTGCTTTACTTCATGCAAAGTCAAATAAATACAAGTTTGTCATATTGATAGCATTTCAGTTCATGAAATTATTTAGAAGTTATAACATCTAGAAAATTAAAATCATTCTGTACCATGTCCCCACAGGACATAGGTAATCATGGCTCTCCACAATTTCTTGTCCCTTGCAGTGTTAACTAAATTCTGTCTATTTCTAAACCCTCTTCCACCATCCATTTTCTCAAGCTCAAAGTATATTATGCATTACTTTCCTGTCACTCTTACCCTCAATCTGTCCTGTGAGTATCAGATTTTCCAAGCCCTCTTTCCACATTACGTGTCCTAGAAATTTCAACTGTCTCTTCTTGATGTTAAACATAAGTTTTCTTTTTGTTTCCATTTTCTCTAAAACCTTGTTCACATGTTTGGTCCATGTTATCCTAAGCATCTTTCTGGAGAACAATATTTCTGTTGCTTCAAGTTTCTTCATATTTGAGGAAATTATCCAGAATTCACTGGCATATAGGAGGCCTATGTTCAATACTCTTTTCTTTGTTTCTAATGAAGTTTTTGTTAATACTCTGCTTAGTTTCTGGAATGCATCTTTGAGCATCCCAATAAATCTTCAGATTTTATTGTTGCACTTTCAGACCTCTGTTAGAACACGTCTCAGTTATTTAAATTTTTGTGCTTGGTACATTTTGGTACCACAGATTTGTTAATTGCATTTTTGGCTTGTCAGTTTATGTTTAGTCCTTTCTTCTTGCTTTCCTTCACTACCTTCTGTAGCAGCTTTTGTAGTTTTCTTTCCATGTCTGCTATCAGCGCTGGGCCATTTGCATATCTTACATTGTTAAGATTGTGGCTGCCAGTACCGAATTCTGGCAGAATATCTAATTGTTTTTGTCTAACAGCATATATCAACACCTTATGTATCATGTAATGCCAATATTTAACTTTCCTGGGAGCTGTGAAGCAATAAAAACGTTATTCTGCTTTCACAATTGAATACATCTTACATTATATTTTTGTGTGGACATGATTACTAGAGGCTGTGATGTGTTTTATGTTGTAGCTTTGTTGAAGTTATATTTTAGAATACAGTTTAATTTCTTTAAGAAATTGTCGGATATTATATGGATTAATGTCCTGAAAGAGCTCATTCATGTTTGGTTGATTTTGTTCAGTGGCGCATCAATCTTTATGGGCCAACTAATGTCGAAATCCAAACTTTGAACACATTTGATGCAGAATAATAATAAAAATTATTTACATTATTATTATTATTATTATTATTTACATTATTATTATTATTATTATTTTATTATTATTATTATTCGGACTATTTTCCTCATCTTTTTCACCATATTTATTTACATTATTATTATTTATTTAACGTTATTAACGTTTATTATTATTATTAACATTATTATTTACATTATTCTTATTATTAACATTATTATTTACATTATTATTATTATTTACATTATTATTTACATTATTATTATTATTAACATTATTATTTCGCTCACATTATTATGTTTAATTGGATTGTTATCATTTATTATTTACATTATTATTATTATTTACATTTATTATTATTATTTACATTTATTATTTACATTATTATTTTTATTTATTATTATTATTTTATATTATTATTTACATTATTATTATTTATTTTTACATTATTATTATTTACATTATTATTATTTTGGGACTTTGTCCTCATCTTTGCACTAGCGTTTCGGCGTTGTATGCTTGACCTTCTTTATTGGTTTTGGGTCCATGTTGTCACTTGGATATAACCAACATAGCCCAAAGAGCGCGAGTTCTGTCACCCGGATATAAGGCAGTGGAGAACTTTCAGAGGAAAATTAACAGAAGATAACTGATATCCATTAAACATGGCATGTGGAACTAGAACAGTCTACCCCAGTGAGCGAAATAAAGGGTTCAGTTCGACATTCCAACCACCTGAAGAAGGCCGGAGCGTAAAACAGCCGAAACATAATAAATATGGCGACAAAGATGAGGACAATAGTCCGAATAATGTAAATAATGTACATAATACTTCATCTCAGAAATATAGACTGATAATAATAATAATAATAATAATAATAATAATGGTGACAAACTAACATATACACACATTCTCTACCAAGTGTTCGAAGAAAGATCTCAATTGATTGATCTGTTTTCTAAGGTTTATCTATCATTTGTGGATTATTTAAAATTTTTTTTTTTTAGATAATAATGGTTTTATTGATACAGGTGTTACTAATTAACACATAGCTGGGGGAGAAGCAGTGGATTCATACTTATCCCAAGGGTATTTGTGCTTATAGTGAAAATAATGAACTCGACAAGAACTGGGACTAGGCGCTCTAATTAACAATTCTGAGCTATTATGAATTAGACCACTTGGCATTCCCAAGTATTCACCCATCTAGGTACTGACCAGGCTCAACATTGCTTAACTTTGATGATCACATGGGGACCAGTGTTTCATTGTGATGTGGGCATAAGCCCCAAGAATTAAGATTCAAGATAAACATTCCTAAAACAGAAACTACAATATGAAATTGGAATAAGAGCAGTGATGGAAATTATCTTGAGTCCATAAAAACTCAGGAATGTGGAATTAAAGATACACACACGACTGTCAAATTTGGCATATGAGGGTCAAGCTGATCAGTTCCTAGGAAACTGACAGCCCGACACCAGCACATGAGATTTGATTATAGTGAAGGTTTTGTGCAGAACCATCCACACTTTTTGAAGGGCTGAATACAGAGACCTGGTGCACTACGTGCCACAGGGTCCCCAAACGACCCTCCGTAGGTTTTGAATTCAGAGTTGTCCTTCTAGACCAGGTGCCATCAAGGTTATAGAACCTAGTCTGTCCTGTTATTTACCCATTGCTGGAGGGAAAAGAAGAGGATTCACACATTTCCCAAGAGTATTAGCACGTAAGTGACTGTAATGAACTTGACTAGAATTCAAACATGGTTCTCAGATTCCTCAATTGGAGCTGCTACCCATTACTCCATTTATGATGTGTGAGGGTTAAGGAGCTCATTTCTTAGAATCAACAGGCAGACTACCAGCACATATCATTTTATTATAATGGCGGAGGCTTGTGTAGAACCAACTTTTTTTTTTTTTTTTTGAAGAGCAAATACAGTGCCCAGTATGCCACAACAAGGTCCCCAAATGACCCTCTGCAGGTTTTAACTTTAGAGTTGTCTTTCTCCTAGAGCATTCTCCAACAAGGCTATAGGATTCAGCCTGTCCTATCTTACCCATAGATGGGGGAGAGAAGAGATGAATTCATACCATTCCCCAATGATATTAGCACATAAGTGAATGTTCTGAACTTGACTAGAATTCGAACTTGGTTCTCAGATTCCTCACTCTACAAAAGCAAAAATTAATCCAAGAATTCATGCTATGTTCATCAAAAGCATTGTCAGATTCAGACTAAATGATATGCAAGGTACCAAACTTTTTCAGAAATGCTTACCAATGATTAAAAATGGTTCCAAATGAATGAATCCTCCTCAGCTTTAAAACAACCTTTGATCAGATTTTGAAGACTGGTACAGCAAAAAAAAATCACAGAAAGAATTTTACCAAATAACCATTAATCATCTGAGAGACGCCTTGCTGCTTTCCATCAGTATGGCTGATGCTAACCTCCAGTACGTGACTTGTTACACCACAGGCTCATGTTCTCACCTGACATGAAGTGGAAAGACTATTGAATCTACTGCTAGGTCAGCTGCTAAGAAAGTTGGTTCACTGTGTCATGCAAGACAATTTTTCTCTCCAGAATCTATCTGGTATATCTCTAAGTCTACCAATCATCCATACTTAGAACATTGCTGCCACAAATGGTCTGGTTCCCTTGTTATTTACCTTGAGCTTCTTAAGATCAAAAAGGAGAATCAGCAATATTATTGGTCCTGTTCTCGGCTCCAGTCACTTTCCCACTGCCATAAGGTTGCATCTATGTCCTTTCTAGAAATACTTTATGGTAATTTTTTTTTTTTTTGGGGGGATGTACTCTTCACTATGGTACTTAGAGTTTTTGAATTTAAGCACAGTACTAGACAGTTGAGCTGGTTAGATGTAGCCATAAATTCTATGTTAAGTTTTTTTCTCACACTTCTTTGTGGAACTTCCTTCTGGCGCCATGCTTTCCAGCTGATTTTAATTGGCAAAAAATTTAAATGCAGTGTCAATTGATATCTACTGACCTCCTGGTCACTATTAATTGGCGTTATATATATATATATAACAGAAGCTGCATCACTTGGACATTTCTAACAGTAACAACTAAAATTAGTAGCACATGTAGCTTTCCACACTACCTTAAAAAGGTTAGTAAGGAAACTACCATCAATATTATATTGAGCAATAACAGTAGACTTGGGAGACCTATTTTCCTGAAAATCGGTTTTTTAAAATATTTTATAAATTTCAAGTGACAGTAACACTGTTCAGTCAATGAATGTTGAAAGTTTCCTTTGTGTAAACAGCTAACCTCAGTATTATCATACGACTTTTCCAAAGAGTATTTCCAGTTACAATCTTAAAACCATGAAATAAGAGAGCTTATCCTCTTAAAAGAGATGAGAGATAGGGGACTTTTTTTTTTTTTTTTTTTTTAATGCTCTGGTTTCAGAAGAAATTATACTGATCAAAAACGTGAAGGCCAAAACTTAATTAGCCTGTGCATTATAAATCCTCAAAGTAATTTGAGGAAAAAACAAAAAAAAAAAAAAAACACTACACACACATTTCCTCTTCAAAGTACTTTGAGGACTTTTTCCTCCTCCTCCTTACCCCCCCTATTACGCTCAACAACGTTATGCGTTTGATCGTCGTTCGTTTATTTTTGAAAACGAATAATGTAGCTTTCTTAGTGTTTTTTTTAAAGATAAAGCGTTGAATGGTCAGTTGATAGAAGTACCTGATGAGACCATGAGGCCAAAATGAAGGTCGCGTATTCTATATGATTCTAATTATTAAAGTTTAAAGCTCTACATGTCATTTAAAAAAAAAAAAAATAAGTTATTTTTATCACGCCTTAAACGAGTCTTTATTTAGCGGTTCAAATCTCGATCCAATTGTAGTTACTGGCATTCACATGTTTCGACCAATCCATTCTTGAACATTAAGTGTACACTGTAGTGTACAGTCTGTGAGAATCGTCATTAGAAAAAGAGACTTGCTTCTCTCTTATGGCATACACCTGACAATGGTTGTGGAATGGATAAGTTGAAACGTTTAGTAGCAAATATTGTTTTAGTGTTGTTGAGTCAGCTATGTCGATGTTTTTGTCAATTTGGACAATGGAAACTTAGTTAAAATTTATGGATGCAGATATGGAATATTCTTAACTTCACTGTTCATCAAATAGAGAACTTTTAAGTAAAAAAAAAAAAAAAAAAATCGTGTTTTTTTTTTTTTTTTTTTTTTTGTAATAATTATTACAGTAAATGTGTATAAAAATTATTTTATTTTTTTATATCAGTTTCACCCATGCAAGGCAGTAAAGGAAAGCCATAAGGGGTTATTGGGTGTGGAAGAATTAATAACAGAAACAATAGTGAATGGGAAGAGAAAACGGATACCGATCAAGGTTTTTTTTTGGGGGGGGTACTATTTTTAATTAGATTTCTTTAAAATAAATCCTTCCTTTCCAATTCCAGGCTTTCCAGCCAACTTTAATCTGAAAAGTAAATGCAGCGTCAATCGCTATCTACTATCCACCTGATTACTCTCTTTTTCCACGTCCACTCATAATGAGTATTCCTAATTCCTCCACACCCTGTATTTTAGTGGCTTTACTGCCTTGCATTGGGGGGGGGGGTTCCGATTAAAAAAAATCTTCAGTCTGTGTGACATTTGTCAGAATAAAAAATATCGATTTGTCATCGATTTAAAAGAGGGTGTCTTGTTTATAATATCGATACAGTGCCAAATCGATCCCTGTTACAGAGCTGTTGGCTTTAACAGTTTTTTTGCATACGAAAACATTTTGGTGAGGAGGCGGGTACGTAGAGATAATCAACAAGTGGATGTAGTCATTTTTATTTTAATTAAAATAAAAAAGAGTATCCTTCATGTAAGAAGGTTATAAACCGAATATAAAAATTCTAGGGCATATTATGAGGAAAGATGGCTTGTAAAATCTGATACTCACAGGACAGGTTGAAAGGTAAGAGGGACAGAAGAAAACAATGCATAACATAGCGAGTTTAAGTAAAAATGGTTGACTGACGGAACAGGGATTTTTAGGAGAACCATGATCACCTATTGTCCTGGAAGAAAGGCACGAAGAATAAGCAAATAAAATAACATTTATTTGTTTCTTAGTATTAAAATTTAAATGTTATTTTCAGCAGGTACTATATATTTGTTGAGACGAGTTGATATTAATTTCAACGTTTTAAGAAAATAAGCGGGGAAAAAACACATGGATGGCGGAATAGGGTTTTTAGGAAAAATAAGGCAAAATTTATTAAGACCCGCACAGAACAGGAAATAGTGGAGAGTCATGATCACCTACGTCCTGAGGGGACACGGTACAAAGAAAAATAATTTAGAAACTTCAAATGTTTGTAAACGTGTCATTGGAAAAAAAATATGCAGATATTTGCAATTTCAAACTTGACGTTTGTAAATAACAGCTAATAAAAGTGATTTATTTATTAGCCCAAATGTCAATAACTTTGTAAAAGTCAAGGATCGATTCGAGTTGACACTGTATCAATATTGTAAATAAGCCCCCCCACCTCGTTCTAAATATTTTTTCCGACAAGTATTGCGGTCTAAAGACATACAATATAATTATTTCCACCAAAAAAATTACCACTATTTTTCTTTTTATGAGTGGACGGGTATTTTTAATTTAAAAAATAGTGCCAATTCTTAAAAAAATACAGGAAATAAAAATCAATACGAATTAATTTTTCAGGTTCCATTTTAAATTTCAAAGAAAACGTATTGCAATGTGGGGGAAAAAAAAATTTAGTAAAAGATCTGTTCCCAAAGCATAACGCAACATAGCGCTACGTTAAAACAGCACGAGTGTATACAGTCCATTTCAAAATACAAAGCTGGAAGCAGTTTTGGTGCCACAAGGTATCGAGATCTTCGCCTGGGATTACGTGTTTTACATTGAAAACACATTTAGCAGACCCAAAGTGATCTTAAAATAAAGCGTAAAACATTCATCAAAAACAATCATTTGAAACCGAGACAGGATTTTTAGGTTTTGAAATGCACAAATAAAGGATTGTTTTAATATTCTTATTGCAAAGTAGCTTCTGCTTGTTACTACAAGAAAAATATTTTTCTCACTTTTTAGTTTTTATTGTTTATAAAAAACAAACAAAAACAAGTAAAAGACATTTATTTCCAGAAACGCAATGGGTAGTACTAGTAAGAAAAGTCGACACTACAATAGTACGCGACTAACAGCAGACGTAACAGAACTAGCTGCAAAAAATGTTTGAAAGAGGCGAAGACAAGTTGGGAAAGAATTTAAACTCAAAAAAACTATCTCATCTGTCGGCATGGATGGAAACTGGCAAGCGAGTGTGGACCGCACTTGATGAATTATGTGAATTCTTCATCTGATTCAGTTATTGCAATGTAAATTTTAATGTTTAGCAATTATTACGTTCAAGACGGGGAGGGGAAGAGAGAGAGAGAGAAAAAAAAGATACAAGAATAATCTTAAAAGCAGGAGACAAAGTTACTACTATTACTACTGATGGAAAAAGAGCACCTGCTATTTCGGGTCACGGTCAGAGATCGCTACGCAAAGAAAAATAATGAGGAAGAAAGAATTACAATTTTATTTTGACAGCAGTTTCAAAGATAGTAGAATCTGTTTCAGGCAGGGCGTCACCAAAAAAAAAAAAAAAAAAAAAGACCAAAGAAATAAAAAAAACTGGAATTTATTTATCTCTCAAATGATTTGTAGTTTTATTTTTAGATTTATCTATAGTGTGTAAACATTTGTTTTGTTTTTAATTTGAAATGCGTATTTTTATTCGCCCGATTGTTTTTTTAGAAGAAAAAAAAAACAACCTAAAATACGGACATTGCAAAGTTTTATATAGGCTTTTTAAGTTTTTAAAAATTAATAGCAGTAATTACTTTGACAAAACATTTCAGCTGAATAGCATTGAGGCAAATGTCCTTAGTGTTTTTTTAGTACCCCAAGCAAGAAGAAGGGGCCACTAATCCTCCCTATAAGTACCGTAAATGGCCTTTTGTATACCATACTTTATGAGTTCAAGAGAAATAGACATGCATCAACTATTGGGCTGTGTGTCTTGGGGAATTTCCATTTATAAAAATTTAATAAAAAAAAAATTTTATAGAAGTTTTAAAATTTAAATTATTTCCTGTTAAGACCGAGTTTAAAGCTTTTATTTATTTATTTTTAGCTTTAAATAAGCGAGCCTTCAAGGTATTGAATTTGAAAGTAATTCTTAAAGAAAAAAAAAAAATCTGCATAACCATAAGCAAACAAGAAAACTCGATACTTAATTTAAGTCTTATGTAAGGTAAGAAGGACAAGGTTAAGAAACTGGTTTAACAGGTGTTGAATCGAAACAGCTAGATTTGTAAAAAAAATATAATAATTTTAGAACACAGAAGTTTAAAATTAAAAATAGACTAGCGTGTGCTTTTCATTCCAGACCGACATCTGACAAAGTTGTAGTAAACATTAGGTAAAAATGTTTAAATTCCGAACTAAATGCCACTCGACGGATGGTATTCAATAAATTTTATGAATCAGAAAAATAAAAATCATATGCCATATGTTAGAAAAGTAAATGCCATTCACATTTGGCGCAAATTTAAGACCGTTCTTAAACCAGGAAGCTATGTGAAAAATGAATTTCAATTTAAAGTAGGTTGAATCAGTCAGTAAACAATCCAATAGAATTTCAAGTTCTGCACGGATATAGAAAAATAGACACGATAATGCTGCGTTGTCGAAAGTGAAAACACTTTCAAAAACTTAACGCTAAGCAAAGTTAATAGTTGTACAATGTACAATATACTTTGTTGAAAGGAACCACAAAAATGCCTTCATTTTTCGACACTTTAAAAATATTCTGAGGAAGTAGAAAAATATTAACGCATAAAAAAATAATCTCCCTTAAGGCTTAAGAAAACAATACCCCACCATTATTAAAAATGTGTCGAAGATTTGTAACTTGTTTTAAGAAGCGGTAAAGATTTCTAGGAAAAAAAAAAAAAAAAAAGCCCCCGTCATTAAGGATCGTTGCAACTTACCTTTACACTGGAATCCTTGTTTGCCAAATCCCCTACAAAATACAAAAGCATTAAAAGATTTATTTATTGTACAGAAAAATAAATAGGTAGAGAACAAGAGGAAAAGCGTAATGCTTCTACAAGTAGTAGCGAAGATAATTTTAGTTAGATACACACGCTAATGCGAAAAAGAAAAAAAAAAGCATTCTTTTTAGAATTATTCAACTAGTTCGTCGTAGGCGGAAGGGAAGAAGAAAACGGAAAGAGATTTTACTGTAACCGTCAAGTATATTTTTCGCACAATTTATTTTAAATTGAAAGAAAAACTTTAGATATATAAAGATTTTTCTTGGGGGAAATTACAAGTTTAACTTGTCAAATATAAAGAGACGAGCAGCATTTGAAAACTAAAAGAATCAAGAATTTTAAGTGGGAGAGAGTAGAATATGAAAGCAAGTTTTAGAAATCATTTTTCCTCTTTTCGAAGTGACTTTAGTTTAAAAACATGGACTTTTTAACGTGATAGGGAAAAAAAGATATTTAAATAATTGACTAATTTATATATTTCAAACAGGTCAATTTTTGACGAGAAAAAAAAAAAAAAAAAAAGGGTTAAAAAAAAAAAAAAAAATCAAAAAACTTTTTGCAACGTGAAAAGAAAGGACTTTCCTTTTTTTAGTTTCAATATTTTCCCAACAGACACACAAAAGTGCCAATTGAATTGATTCAATGACAACGCTGCGTACAGATTCTGAATTTGTGAAAGTTGGTTAACTTTTTTGTTGTTGTTGTTGAAATTTAATAGGCTAAAAATTTCAGGTTTTGTTTAAGAATTTGCAAACCTTCCCCCTACTCAAAGCATGCAAGCTTCGTTTAACTGCATCAAATTTTACGCACTAATTGTTAAAAACCCCATTGATGACAAACGAAGCATTTATTTGCCGACTATAACTTAGTCTTCTCTCTCTACGTTACAGAGTAAGACGCATTATTATTATTAGGAGTCACACTATTGAAAAGGCGTGATTATTATTTCTTCCACCCACACGTGAAGAATAGCATTTCAATGCCACTTGCAAAAAAGAGCGTGATACACACGCTAACATTACACACGATCGAACGAATATATACGCACATACAAGAAGTAAAGTGAGGGTTTTTACACTTTTACACGCATTTTATTTAAAACTAAAAGCAAGCAGTCTTATCAGGACATATACAGACAAGATCATTATAGAAACTTTTTTATATACAAATCAACTGTCATTTTCCCCTTAAATTTAAACAAATTTTTTTGTCTTCGTTTCAAAATTTCGCTCGCCGACAAGTTACAGAAAATGACGTAAACAAAACATTGAGAGGAAAATCGAAATTATGTTTAAAGTTTAACTTCAAATAAACCACACTACACATGCATACAAATGCATTCGTTTTTATTCTTTTCATAACCTACAATTCAACAATATATTTTTTAATACATCACTTAAGTTTCCACATCCACAATTTTCTTTTTAATCGGATAGCAAGTGAACGGAACCTAAACCTTAAATTTGTAAAAACGGTTACAGACTGTCACATTAAAGATTTGTACCAGGAAGAAGGAAAAAAAAAAAGTTAAAAAAAAAAAGTAAGTAAAAGTTAAGTGTGGCAACAACTGACAGTTTTGTAAAATAGCCACTGTAAGAAAAAAGAAAAACGTAAGTTTATAGTTTATCAATTGAAAATAAAATAAAAACTCATTTTTAACTTTTTTCTTTTCTTCCTTTGCTTAAAACAAGAAGGATAAAGAATGTTATTTTAGCGAAGATTTAAAAAAAATAAATAAATAAAAGCACGGCATAAGAGACATTTTATAATTTGTCAAGTTTTAACTTCGAAATTTAATCACGTTTACAGAATTAAAATAAAATTATCTTTTTTAAAACTGCACTTATAATCACTTGCTTTGCTAAATGCGCGCATTGCTTTCTCGGCGTGTCAAAGCTACAGAAAGCGCGTGTGTGTGAGTCCGTGTGTCACTTACTTTACGAAAACATGGATGGATAGGCACTGAATAGTAGTAGTAAAAAAAAGTGGTAAATATTTAAACGATTCTCACCAAATAAAATCCTTACAGTGGCTGCAGAAGGTCGGCTGCTTGAAAAAGCGCGGCACAAACTTGTGGTCTTTGATTTCGAAGACATTTTTCTGTCGTAAAGCACCTCGACGTTGTACTCCTTTCACGGCGACAGGCTCCGAGTCAGCCATTTTTGCACTGACCGTAAGTATACGTGTGTGCGTGCGTGAGAGCAAAGTGCGTGCGGGTGTGGATTTCAAGGCGAGTGCGCGCGCGCGTTGATTGGCTGATGCTCGCTACCGGGCCGCGCCGCACATACATACACACGACCTCACACGCACTAATAAGGGAGGTAACTCTGAGTGACTAGCACACGCACTTACAGACCGACACAATCACGTTGCGCGTGCGGGTGTAGCTCAGTGGTAGCCCTATAGGATTGCAAGCTGTGAGGTCAGTTCTATTTTTGGTAGCGGGTGGGTGATGTTCGTTACTAACAATTTACGTAGCGGACTGAAAAACACTAATCGTTTTGCTTAAAAATAAAATAGAAAACAAAAGCTAGCCCCTTTTGTAAATTTTAGCCAACTTGCTTGTAAAATCCGTAGTCGAAACCCCTGCGCAAATACTGTCGTTAAGTCAACATTGTTAAATGTTAAAATAATTTTTCTAGTGTTTTACTTTTAGCTAAGTGGCTGCAAAGGGATCTTTATAAGTACAGAAAATGGTAAAAATCTGGCAACCCTAAACATAGAAGGACCACATGATCAGTTTCAGAAAGGACCATAAAACCCTGTTCACGGCCCCGAAATAAGTAATGAAATTTAGAGTTAGCGACGTGGTTTTAAATTTGATATCCGCTACTGCTGGTGAAATTTAGCGATATTGTTAAGAAAAGGCATGAACCCTAAATCTCCTGCATAAACAGAAATAAAACTAAAAGCCTAGTAGAAGAAAGCAGAACCGCCAAGAAACGTTGTGCTCGTGTCTAGTTAAGGATCGAGCGTTGAGGTAATAATAATTCTTATCGAATCTGTGAGCTGCATGTATCACGAGGCACGAAGAATTTGGAAAAAGAAAAGAAAAAAGAAATGTATGACTTTTATTGCGGGATTTTCTGAGAAATTTTGTAATTTTTAGGTCTCACCTTCTTATTTTATTTTATTTTTTTAATCAAGAAAACTGTATTTAACAGTTCAACCTGACATTCATTCCTATCCCCAGACCATTATCGCATCGATGCAAATATTTGGGTGCCCTGCCATACACACCCACACACGTAGAGAGGAAAGAAAGATAAAGACAAGTGAGAAACGCGAATCACTTGCAAACACGACGTTCGTAATATACCTGCTACTACACGTATGCAGCGGAACTCACAAGAAGAGGCAGATGTTATAGTTCTTCTGTTTTTTTTTGTTTTAGAGATATATGCTCTTAATGAAAAATGTTCTTAAAATATGGCCTGAGTTTTCTTAGCTTATGAGTTGGCATTTATTTAAGCTTTTAAAAAAAGTTTTTATTTCCTTCTTTTAAATAACGTCTTTGCTTCGCTCTGTCGCAAGGACTACGTCAATGGAAAACATTACATATCGATACATAAAATCATAAGCAACGTTATTTATTTGTGACAAGCCTCCACATGAGAAATTAACTGAATAAAAAGAAACCAGATATTATTATTTATAAGGATTGTGCAAAAGTTCTCTGTGATTTTTTTCTCTCAATAAAGACTAGTGACTACAGTACACTACTAAATACAGAATTAAAAACGCTTATTTTTGGCACACTCTTTAAGAGTCTTAAATTATTAAGAAATGACACTTTATTTACTGTAGTAGTCGTAATTATAGTGTCAAACTTGTCCTTTAGTGTAAATAACTTTATAATCTATTCCATAAGAGATGTGTCTTGTTTATATGACTTTTATACGTATTTATCTGTCACGCAGCCTGAGATAATGATATTCAGTTGTTATAGTAACATGAGACATTATTCGACACCAATAAATGAACATGACTTGTGTTACCATAACAACAAAATATCTTTTTATTTCTTACGCTTTTTATTTTTTTTGTTTCGTCTTAGGTCTCATTCTTTCTTTCTTTCTTTCTTTCTTTCTTTCTTTCTTTCTTTCTTTCTCTTTAAAGTGGACATTGAAGTCAACACCCAGAGGCGACTGTCTGTTTCATGATAAACACAATCGTCAGGTTATATATGCATAGGCCCTGGCGATTGCGTTTTAACATGAAACAGACTGTCGCCTCTGGGTGTTGACTTCAATGTCCACTTTTATAATTATATACGCTCTATCCCTGATATTGAGCACTTTAACCTATATACATACGCACACGCGCGCGCGCACACACGCACACACACACACACACACACACACACACACACACACACACACACACATATATATATATATATATATATGTATGATAAAATATAGTTTTAAGGATTAGTTTTATAGATTCCAAAAAAATTTCGCTCGAAGATAGAACAGAGCTTGGTACTTTAATTCAATTTAATTCAAATAATTATATTGAAGTTTTCGGCTCTTGTTTTGAAACATGAGAACTCTTATGTAGCGTTGGAATCATATTTTTAAATAAATAATTATATTTAGGCTCTACTTTTGTATCGAGCACTGTTTTTTTTAAAATAATAACAAAAATACTAAAGAACTTTGGATTATTTACCTAACGAGTTTTATTCCTATTTTCTATATATTTTACACACACACACACACACACACACACACACACACACACACACACACACATATATATATATATATATATATATATATATATATATATATATATATATATATAGTCCAAATGTAAAAGAACGAAGAGTAAGATTTCAGCGTTCAAAACATTAATTTAAAACAGAGCTCAATGCAAAATTAGATCCGCCGTATATATTTATTTATTATGCGGTGTTACATTAGAACATGCATATACCCACTACAAAACTGTACATCCTTGTTCAGTTGCATCGTGATTCCTCACCTGATGAAACTTAAAAAAAGATTTTTTTGGGGTATGTGCATGTTCTAATGTAACACTGTAAAAATTATATATATATATATATATATATATATATATATATATATATATATATATATATATAATACCGTTTAAAAACACAACGCTTGAAGACTGGAAATTTTACTAAGAAACATCGATGTCGGGAAAAAATTGATATTTAAAAGTTAAGTAATCTTTTCATCTAATATCATTAATGCTCTATTTTTAATATTATTTTATTATTTATAATATTGAGCACTATATATAAAAATATCTTCTGTTACTTAAATCATATATATATATATAGAGAGAGATAATATTAGTGGTTAATATACACATACATATGCAATAATATATCTAAACTATATAAATATATATACATACATACACATACATATATATATATGTATAAACAATAATTCCAAGAGGAAGGATCCAGGTAGAACTCAATGTCTAGGACAGAGTAAGGATATAATAAAAAGGCTTAAACACTAATATTCCATGGTTTATTAGTGTTTAAGCCTTTTTTTATATATATATATATATATATATATATATGCATGCGTGCGTGTGTGTGTGGACTGGACTCTCCCGTCGTTTTCGGCGTATGAGGGTACAGAGACTCAGTTTTTGGAATCGAACAGCCAGTAATATACGCACATATGATTTGATTATAGTGATGAAAGCCTTTGTAGAACCACCCACACTTTTTGGAAGAGCCCCCACTACAAAAAAGAACTGGTGCACATATTGTGCCACATGAAACCCCAACGAACCTCCACACGTTTTGAATCCAGTCCTATTCCTAGACCGGTTGCCAACCAAGGCTATAAGACTCAGTCATTCCTGCTATTTACCCATAGCTGGATGGGAAAAGATGGATTAATACCTTTCCCAAGGGTATTTGCACGTAGGTGAATGTAATGAACTTGTCTGGAATTCGATCCCGCCTCTCCGATTACTCAATCTGAGCCTGCATTCATTACTCCACGCTTCGCTCTATCTATCTATCTATCTATCTATCTATCTATCTATCTATCTATCTTATGGCCGGCTATTGTCTCTCGAGCACACTGATCTGCTAGTGCGGCAGGCTCAGGCACATTTGAGTTTGTTCAATACCCACAGAATCCACTGCATTTATGCTGTGTGGACATTAGTTACACTTTCTGGGAGAGAGCGGGTCATCTGATGGAATCAACGGTTTAAACAAGGTAAGTATGCTGAAACTCTCTGTCACAATGACTTGTGCCTATACAACTATTGACAGTCGTGAGAAAACACGCTCTAGGCTCTCCAGATACTTTCCAAACATGCAGTACGCAGGCCGATAACATCAACCATAGTAAGTTTAGAACCTGAATCTATCTATCTATCTATCTATCTATCTATCTATCTATCTATCCTAAAAAACATGACGATATTGGTCTGACCATCAGACAATATGAAACCTTAGACAAGAAAACATTCCAAACAAGACAAAAGGCAGCCATCTACATATGCCGCAAATTAAAGTGCTCAACGCCTAGACTATCTAGACAGATAAAAAAAAACACTTTCACAACGACAACAAACTACGAAAGGCAGCGCGAGCCTCAACTCAAGTCTCACGCTCTCGCGATCTTCAGGCAAGTATCTTTCTTTCTCTCTCTCTCTCTCTCTCTCTCTCTCTCTCTCTCTCTCTACATATATATATATATACCGAGTGTAACAGGAAAATTGTCTAAATCGCATGACATCATAATTGTCCATCCCACAAAATGTTTAATATCTGAAAAAAAACACAAAGCTAATTGAGTTTCTTTTTTCACGGTTTTCAGATAAGACGTTTAGCTATCTTGACACCATTTGCTGTTAGAATCACTGAAAAATATTTTGAGTTATTCAGTTAGAAAGAGAACAGGTTAAAATAATTTTGCGTCACACCCACTACCTTTTCAAATGAGCAATAGTGAGAGGAAAAAGATCATTCAGGCCTTCAGTAATGCTACCAACATTCATACTCTGGCTTCGATCTTCAACGTCCACTCAAGAACCATGAAGATAACGGTGAATAAGTTGAAAAATAGAGAGAACAGTAGAGAGGAAACCTGGATCAGGAAGAATGATCAACATTTTAACTTAGCGCAAAAGAGACCAATTAGAAAAGATCC